TAATGCCAGAAGCAGGCTTAACATGAGTTTGAGAGCAACAATCTCGTGCGCAGAGTCCTTGTGGCAGCGCAGCCACCAGCATATTTCTGGCATTGTGTTTTAAAGCCATAAAAGTCCGAAAAAAAAAAAAAAAGAAAAAGAAAAAGAAAAGGTGGCAGTGAAACTTCATATTGGTATTTGTGTCAATGGGGACTAGGAAACAGTCCAAACACTTGAGAAATTATAGTCCTATTCTGGTTTTAGAAAATCAGAGTCCGTGCTTATTGTAAGAGTTGTGTACAGCCAACTTGCCTTTGAACTGTACTGGAATATGATCAAACGTGAAATTTTTCTTTAGGCTTTCTGTTAGGGACGCGAGCTGGATCCAGCTCTGGTGGCCCTCAACGGGTGACAGAGCCGAAGCTCTCCTAACATCTGTGGAAGCTGCTTTCCTACCAAAAATTACTGTCTGTAGCAGAAATTGTTCCGAGTGACAGAAAACAGACACATTTGACAAAAACATCGTGGATTTATTTTTTAATGACAAGTTAAAGGCTCGTCTTGAGGAGACAGAAGTGTAAAATCGTGACGCTTTTCCACTACAAACTTTTTTCTTTCTTTTAAAGCTTAAATAATCTGGCCTTCTCAAATGGGCTGCCCTGAATATACAGAGCGCGCTGAGGCGGAGTGAAAACGTGAACTGTTTCCCTTTTTAATTTCCTTGAACAGAGAGAAATAGGTGTTTTGAGGCGAGCACTGGGAATTTTACTCTTCGCGTGTCCGTGGAATTCAGAAGTGCTGGTACTTGTCTGCTTAGGCTTAACAAAAATTGAGTTGGAGGGAGCAAGAAAAGAATTGTTCTCACAAGGTGAAGCTGAGGGATTTCTGGGGGACTGTTGTTTTATACTGATTTCTGTGCGAAGGTGGAAGTTTCTTTGGCATATGTCCAAAATAGCTCTCCAACTTCCGCCTCGTCCTGTAGAAAGGCCAGACTAACTTAGTTTGTAGATTACTTTTGGGGCCGTTACTTGTGAAACGACTTGTTCAACGTTGTGATGCTCTTCTTCCCCCCCCCTGTTTGTTGGGCCTGATATACCCCGGGGGGGGGGGGGGGGGGGGAAGCCCCAAATCTTGTCTCGTCTGACCTACGGTTTTTCTTGATGGCCAACTTCCCGACGCGTTGGCCAGCTGCGCAGCACAACCGCCGTGATTTCCCCCCCCACCTTGCCGTATTGGCGTTGCTTCGTCGTTTCACCCTGAACCTTTCTTCGTTTCGGTACTCACCCTGGCTAGTGCATCACAGGGGGTGAAGCTTGTTTGCAAAGCCGTGGGAGGCAAGGTGGTCGGTCCAGTTGAGTCGCTGGGAAAGAGGGGCAGGCGAAGGTTTCTTTTTCGCGTCTGTTTTTATAATAGATGCTTATCTGGGAGTCTGACTTAGGCACCTGATTAGCCAGCCGGTCTTGTGTAACAAATCCGTTTCAATGAGAAGTAAAGTGCAGTAAATGATTAACATAATCTTCTTTAGTAATGGCTAGGATTTTTTTTTTAATTTAATGAGTCACTTCTTAAAATCGGAAGGGGAAAGAGGTTTTCTTTGTTTGGTTTTTTTTTTTTTTTAATGGTCGCAGTACAATCATTTGCACGTAGACAGGCGGTGTTTTTTACTCAAAGCGGCCGTATCAAACGTGCGGTGCGTGTGCTCTCTGAGATACGCCTAGCTCACTTGCAAAAGGAAACGTGGAGCACGGGTTTTATAGAAAATTACTGTTAGGGTCATGTTTAATGTCTCTGTTATCCAAGCAGTGAAACTGCAAGACTCCGCGAGCGCCGTAGCAGTCAAAAAGCGCCAGCCTGTGCTGTGCAAAGTTCTCAAATTAATGGTGAAAGTGGGTTTCAGTAGCAGACTCGCTCTTCCAACAGCCTGCAGTTCGGGCTCGTTTGCCTTACCTGGGGCACGTTTTGAGGCGTTTCTCCTCCAGAAATCTGGGAACGGATTGGTTTCAGCATGCTTTAAAGGAAGGCGGTACTTCTCCGACAGGCCAGCGGCTTGCTGATTTGGAACGTTTTTCTCCATCGGTGAAGCGTAGCGTGGCCCGCAAGACCATATTCCCGCAGGTGAGTGTATTGCGTTTGCAGGGCCTGCAGCAGCCTCCTGCGTCTCCCCCCACCAAAACGTTCTCCGGGCAGGGGGAGGAGAAAATCCTGGCTCAGACGGAGCCCGCGGGTTAGTTTTAGGTAGACGTGGATTATTTTTGTAATTGCCTGACGGTCGTGGGGGAGAAAAATTGTCCATCGCTGACAAAAATCTTGCTATCGTTGGCTCATCGTGCTGAGTCGAATTGCTTGCGCTTGACTGAAGACTAGAGCGCCTTGTCTTTGCGAGCCCGCCTGACTTGACGGCTGGCAAGCTCAGAGTCGGTCCCCGTTGAGTGCCGCGCTGAGAACAGTACTCTTTTCAGGGCTCAAGCATCGCGCCTTTGATCGTCGGCCACTTATTTTCTTCTGAGCGCTTCCGTGTGGCTTTTTGAACCGTGTTTTAACTGTGGGCTCTGTCAGAAGTGCTTCCTGCTGTTTGTTTGAACCTTATCTGAGCCCGTTTCACCAAATGCCCCGAGTCCTTGTGCTCTGAAGGACAGTGAATAATCGCTTCCTACTCACATTCCCCACGACTCTCCCGACTCTGTAGATTCCTTATCTTTGCTCCCTTCCGTCGTCTCTTTCCCAGGTTGGAGAGACCTGGACTGCTGGGTTATCCAGAAGCCACCCCGCACCTTTGGTCATCCTGGACCTTGCTCTGCGAGCTTTGCCAGGGTGGAAATGTCCTCAGTGAGATGGGGCAGAGGGGGCCAGGAGCGTGGACGGTGTTTGAGACTGGAGGGGCGCCGCGGGTGTATGTGGTGCCCTCACGGTGGTCTTTGGTGTGCTGCTGCTGCTCGCTTGATCGGCTGCTGAGCAGCAGGAGGTGGCTCGGAGTATATCACTGTATGTGTCAGATCGAGGCGTTTTCCTCACTTGCCTCGCTTCGTGCTGTGCTGATAATTAATTTATTATTTTCTTTACTATCCATTTCCCCAGCATTAAGAGATTCTTGAGCAAATTGTAGGGCCAGCTTTCATTTTTCCTCCCGTGAACAACTCAAGTCTCACCAGAAAAATTTGTCACCTTACTGTTTGCCCTCTGCAGATCATTTCCGCATATTTTGCCCAGCGGAGGTGTAGGTCCATGGGATCCAGTGGTAACTTACTGTTTGGAAAGGGGAGAGGATTTCCTTCCCTTTTTCCCCCCCAATCTTTCAGCCACTCATTCCTGCGTGTCGAGAGCCATCCCTTGTCTGCTACAGAAGCTTTGATGAGCTTCCTTGCTGGGAAGTAGCAGTGCTCATCGCCGCCGTTGGTCAGCAAGGTGTCCCCACAGACACTTGACTTTTGAAGCAGGTGGCTTTTAGCATCATCGGCTAGGAGGCAGCGATAACTCGTTTGCAGCAGAGTGAACAGAGACCTGGTCTTGGACAGCTTCCCTTCGACCTTTCTGGGCACTCGCAGAAGTGTCGGTGTTGGCAAGCTGCCCCTCTAGTCTGAGCGCGTTGAACGTGTAAATGAAGCCATTTTTAATAAGGTGAAAGCAGAGGCCTGGCCTCTTTGGTATGCTGCAAACGAGTTTCGTAGCCGTGTCGACCCACGTGGAGGAGAGGGCTCGGTTGCTCTGCCGGAGGAGAGCAAGGCGCGGAGGCAAGCCGGGGGAGGAGGATCGAGCAAGATAAAAATCACTGCAGCCGCTTCTGCCAATTGCCTCTCGCAGAAACACCGCACGTTTATTTTGAAATGCCCCCAAAATGTGCTAGGTACCGTAAGACCTAAAGTTAGAGGCACAAGATCTAGCCTGAAGTGTTTAAACCCTGCATATGAAATGCTTGTGTCTGATAAGTTATGGAGGCTGGGCTGCTGAAACCCACAGGTCTGAATACCGGTGCCAGTTACACTTCGTAGGTGTTGTTAATGTATCTCAAGAGTTGTTCTGCTTCTGAGTACTTAGCCGTGTTTCAAGAAGACACACGCGTGGCAAGCCTGTTCGCAGTGGGTGGATCAGCCATTCAGAGCTCCTCCTGCCGCTTGTACTCCTTCAGTAACCCAGCCCGACTTTACGTCATGCTGCCGCCAGATCGGTATATTTGCTTCCGACAAAACAAGTTGGGAGTTGAGCGCTTTTGAGCGCCGTACCGGTTAAAGCGGACCAGCGTATGGTTGATGTTGCAACGCGTTGAGATGCGCTCACCTTTGGATGGAGTCGTGCAAAGCATCGCTTTCAGAAGAAATAGATATCCTCAGTTCTTGTGTTCTTGGGGTGAGAGAGGTGTCTGGTGCAATTCATTGGAAAATAATCTTTATAGACTGCATTCTTGACAAGGAGAGAAGGTTTTTCAGCTAAAACCAGTATTCTGGTAAGAGAAATAAATATATTATGAAGCTGCAGGTACTGGCAGTGGCATATTATTACGTGATATTTCACCCTTTCACGATTGTGAAAGAAAAGAAAAAGCACGTAAAGAAGTTTTTGACTGAATGGGACTCCTGCAGGTTAACAAAATTAGGAGAATTTTTGCAGCCTGGGTGACTGGTCGGTTCTCTCTGAGCACGCCCTCAGGGCTGCCGTGGTTGCATAATTTCCAGGAGCTTAACTTTGCTGTTTGGAGGTAGCGCCTAGCATGAACGTTCACCTGCCTGCAATGCCCAGGACAGCAAATAGCAGGCCAAGCACATGCAAGTGGTGTGAGTGAATATGTCACTGGCCGGTTATGGCATATTTTATTTTTCCCTGTGTGTGGCAGCAGGTTTTATGGCCTGACTACAGATCTGCCTCTTTCAAGAATTTTGTGGGAAACTTTTCGAAGCTGCTTGCTCTCAGCTGTTGCCGATGTTGCAGGTGTGCGCCAAGTCGGTGAGGGGCAAAACGTCTCTTTTAATACTGCGGGCAGTAAAAGCTGACGGTCTGACCGTTTTTTCCCCCCTTTCCATTGAAAACAGTATGCTACAGATAGTTCCTCAAACTCCTCCCAGAAAAGGGAACAGCCCGTGCGAACGCTAGCTTCTCCTGCGTCCTGCGAACATCGAAGAATTTGCACTCGTAGCCACCTGCACGACCATTATAGCTCTGACCACTACCATCTCGAACAAGTAAGCTTCCTTTTTGCTCTTGCCACTGTGTCCCTCGTAGCTGAGGCTGTAAAACATTTGTCCCTCCAGCATCCTTCTAAAGATTCCCTTGCCTTTCTCCCCTGCTCCTTCTCAGTGAGCTTGAAAAGGTTTCCATTATTAAAAAAAAATAAAACAAAAGTCTATGCCGGGATTTAACGTTACCTGGTACTATGTGCAAACAGGCTAACGTAGCTCTGTGGTCGCTGCATGCCTTCTTGAGCCAAAGACTGAAACTCTGTGATGGTTCGGATGTGCCCAGGAGTTGGTGACTACCTTGTAGCTGGGTGGTGACTACTGCTCCGGGACTGTTGTCTGTCAGACAGCTGGAATTTGGGGAAAAGCGGGACTGTTACCTTGCTACTGCAGAAATTGAGGCACTCTCTGAAGTTGCACTGATTCACTAGTTTTCGTCGTCAAAGCAAAAGGGAGTGCATACAAGCAGAGAAAGGACAAAATATTGGCATTTTCATTGAGCAGTTTAAAAAAAAACTGAGGAGAAAGTGATTAGAAAATGATTCCCCAATGTAATAACTGATGTTTTGTCTTTTCTCCCTCTTCCCCCCGACCCCTGCTCCCACAGTCAGTACCACGGTCCTATCGGCACGTCAACTTTCCCGATGACGATGAGGAGATCGTGCGCATCAATCCTCGGGAAAAGATTTGGATGACCGGCTATGAGGACTATCGCCATGCCCCAGCGCGAGGAAAGAGCTTTGATCCTGACGACATGGACTCCTACGTGCGTTTTGCCAAAAGCGAGGCCTCCAAACATGAGTACACCTACCCTTACATAGACAACTCGGACTTTGACCTGGGTGAAGATATCAAGGGTGCTGTGATAAAGACTCAACCTGTCAAATTCAAACCCAGGCGGAAGGAAGACGGCGAGCGATCGCGCTGCGTGTACTGCAGGGACATGTTCAACCACGAGGAGAACAAACGGGGTCAATGCCAGGATGCTCCGGACCGTGTCAAGACTTGCATCCATCGAGTGAGCTGTATGTGGTGCGCGGACACTATGCTCTATCACTGTATGTCCGACCCGGAAGGAGACTATACGGATCCTTGCTCGTGCGACACCAGTGATGAAATGTTTTGCCTCCGGTGGATGGCCCTTATCGCCTTGTCTTTCATCGCTCCATGTATGTGCTGTTACTTGCCGCTTCGGGCTTGTTACCACTGTGGGGTCATGTGCAGGTGCTGTGGTGGAAAACACAAAGCTGCTGGATGACTACGGATGAGCCTCAAGGGTTATGTTTTTCCTGTAGTTCGAGGAACACGTCGGTTTGGGAGCATCGAGATCACTTACTTTGATGCAGCCACTGTGCCCAACAGCATCCAGAAACCGCCGGTTTGGATGGCTTTACCTTTGGTCGCCGGGGGCTCACACTGCATTGATTTGCTCATCAAGTGTTCTAACTAACTAATCTACAGCGTAGACTTTTGTATTATTAATCTGTAATCAAACAGACTGTCTTGTACATGTTTATATTATTATTTTTTTTTTTTGTCCAGTTAAAAGGGGTTTGAGAAAAGAACTGCTTTCGGTGGTGGTGGATTGTAGAGCGTGTCCAGGTTGTGTCCGTCTTGCCTCCGCTTGTGCGGTACCATTGCTGTGTCAGCGAGCTCGGCATCTCTAGAAACGGGATGGTGTCGCGGAACGAAATCACACTTGGAAGACAGAGTAACTTGCAGTCAAGTTATTGTGTGTATAGAAGGTGCGCTAGTAACAAACTTGTACCGCAACACAGTATTTCTGTCATCAGTTTTCTTCTCTTTTCTCTTTTTTATTTTCTTTTTTGTCCTGTTTTCAAGCCAGAATAGCCATCTAAGCTGCAGTTTCTCTTTTAGAGTCCGTCGCCATTTCCTTCAGCAAACATCTTAAATGATTTCTCTGTTCTTAAAGAGAAAGCAAGGCTCAGTTACCGTAGTCACGTAACCATTGAGAAGGTGGTAGTTCTCCTTACCTGTAATCATTTCAGACCACTACTTGAAAGGGAAGCTTAAATTTTAGGGTGTTTTGCCCTAAATGACATTGGAAAAAATTAAAACTGTGTTTCCAGAGTTCTGCCGAAAAGAGGGGAACTTCTTCACTCGCCAGCCATGTCATGATTTGAGAATAAAACACTAAGATTGTAGAGGAGCAAAACTGTCGTGATGCGAGGAATGATTCACCAACGCAACCTCAGGGGCACTGTTATAATCCGTGGCCGTTCTGGAGAAATGCTGCGTTAAGTGGTGGGTTGTAAGGCACCGAGTATTTGCTTATGTCTTCTGTGCAGCACGCGAGCGTGAGAACATGCACGTTTGCAGCGGGAACTACGTTTAGCGTTTCTAAGCAGGTGTTTAAAACGAAAAGCCAGGATGTTAGCCACCACTTTAATTCCCTGATTTACGGTTCCCGGTCCTCCCGACGCTTAACATACGTCGCAGCTTCCCGCGTGCGTCACCACCGTTTCTGCCCTCCGGCTTGTAGGCTTAGGCAGGTGAGTCTCTGCGGGAACCAGCCCAAAGTGTTGCCCTCGCTCTGCCCTCCCCAGTTCACCACCCAGATTTATCAAGTGGATGCCGAAGGTGCATACAGCAGGATAAGAATACTTTAATTTTTTTTTTTTTAAATGTCATGTCCTCTTCTGTACAAGGCTTGTAATTAGCTGGAAAAAGAGTATTTTTCTAATATATTACAAGGAATAGCCAAATAATTTTTATTAAAAAAAAAATGATTTAGCGCAGTGAGCTCTAACTAGCATAGTACAATCTGAATCCTTTGAGGCAGCTAGGGATTGGCTTGTCCAAGCTGGCACTGCTGTTCCTGCCATAATTTCTTTCTGCAGTAAATTGCCAGTGGGCGCATGTCCTTTCCCTCCCTCTATTGCACATTGACATCAGTCTTAAAAGAGAGATTTTTTGTTTGTTTGTTTGTTTTGGTTTGGGTTTTTTATTTTTTTTGCCAAATAAATGTAAGGAACGCTTGCCATTCGTTCTTGGTGGAACGTCCCGACAGTTCCTCTGAGAGTCAATCCCAGCTATTTAGTAAACCATGAAGTAAGTATGCAACATGCTTATACACTATAGAGTCGGGTAGGCTTAATTTGTAGCAGTTGCTGGGGATTTTTTGGTTGGGGAGGGGGAAAAAAAAGAAAAGAAAAGGAATGATAATGGAAAAAGGACGGAGTGTTACACCCTTGGTGATGTGTCTGGGTTTGCTGAATGGAGTATAAATATTTTGTGCCTAATAGCAGTTGACAAATCTCTCAATGGTGTCTAGTAAACATCAAGCCAGCCTCAAGAAAACACAGTGGAACAACCTTTTCCTTTTATTTCTGTTCTCCAAGTTGTTTCATGTAAACAAATATCTGTAAGATCTTCTCTCTATAAAGCACAACACTACAAAAAAAAAAGATCTTACAGCTTTTTGTCCGGTCTTGAAGTGCCCCTATTTATTTAAGTAAAGTAGACATACTCCAAGCCTTTCCGTATGTCTGAAAATAACAATTTTTTTTTTTTTAAAAGCCCTCTTCTTCTTTTTTTCTCCCCCCGCCCCGGCTCCTTCTTCCTCCCTCATCTCCTCTTGGGCTTTTGTGATACTTGTAGATTTTGCTGCGTGTGTTATTTGGTTTGTGAAGGCAGTGGTGTAAGGGCACAAGGATAGAAATGGGTGTTTTCTGTAAATAGTTCTCCTGAATTTGCACACTGCTGCTGAACAGTGTGTAGCGTTCTCCCAGTCAGCTTTGCAATACTGACATCAATCATTTGAGAGAAATTATTCAGATTTTATTTTTGTATCTGTGGTAACAAAACATTAACCAAAAATTTTTTTTTTTTTCCTCTGTTGTGGAAAATTTTTTTCAAGCTATTGCTCACATTAACAAATTAAAGTGCCTGAAGCCTCATCATTATTGTATCTATATACTAAAAGTTAAAACCCTGTTGTATTGATTTTTATAAGCCTTTTTACCTCCGTGTAAAAAAAAAAAAAAGTATATATACAAGTGTATGATGTACATTTTAGTTCTTAACTTCTTTTTTTATTGTTTCTAATATGTATGATCAGTGTAGCTATTGCTTTAAAAATGTACCGTGTAAATATAAATACATCATATCGAAACGACGCCGGTCATGTTATTTGCCGATGGGGGGGCAA